ACAGTGACAACAGTGACAACAGTGACAGCAATGACAACAGTGACAACAGTGACAGCAGTGACAACAGTGACAGCAGCAACAGCAGCAACAGCAGCAACAACTGTTGTTACCAACTTTGAATGGCAATTCACCATCATACAAAAGGAAACATTGGGGCACAGAACAACACCAACAGTAACAGAAATTGCTACAGAACCCAATTATAATTAGCTTAATTTGAAGAAGAATTTCTTGTTTCACAGACTGATTTCCACATTTTTGGCTAAATCATAAGCACAGAAGAGCTCCAACAACACCAACAGCAACAGCTACAGAAGAAAGCTACCATTATCTTACAATGGGGATTTCTTGTCTCACAGACTGGTGTACGGGGGCGTAGAATTCCAGCTCTGCAGTGTTCCCCTCTGGGTTGACGGTACACTCAATGCGGTACACACGAATGTCATCAATGGAGCGCAGTGTGATGGTGGCTGGGTAATGCCCAGGCTCCTTTGCTCGGAACTGAACCGGAAGCTCAGCGACTCCATCAGCTAAGTTGACATCTGAGAAGGCAAATTTAGGGATTACTGCTTTTGCGTTCTGCATCTCTATTCTCTGAAAATCAGCAGATGATGTTCTTGTATGAAAATGCAATACAGGAATAAATAATGGCAACAGCTCTTACAGGAAACTTTGGGCTGAGTCAAATAAGGCGGATTAAAAACAAAATAACATCTGCCATTGTATAGTAAAGAAGATATTGATGGTGATGCTAAGTATACAGATGACGATAATGATGTTAAAGATGATGACGATGCTGGTAAAGATCACAATGGTATTATTTATGTGGTTGGGTAAATATGTTCCCACTTATGGGAATATCAAGGGGAGTAAGGGGTATATGAATAATTGTTATCTGCAATAAAGAGCGGATCTTACAAACAATACCTTATTTCTTTTTTCGGATACTTGCAGTAATTGTGTATATTCAAAATTTTGCTAATCTCTAGACCTGTGAGAGATAGGTGTAGATTTACTCTGCAAAATAAGTAAAAACCTTTTTTGAACACTACGATTACATCAGAACCCCCCCTCACTGCCATTGAACGCTTTAACTCTTTATCTCCGAGGGAGGTAAACCCACTATGCCAGGCCCTTTTTGGCACTAAATCTAAAAATGACGAAAACGTCACTAACTGGGTCATTAAAACGAAACTAGCGAACCTATTATGATAGTGCTTCATCTTATGAATGAGCTTCCCATAAAAGAAACCTGGCAATTGCCGAAAAGTAAGTTGATGTTGAAGTCATCGTAAAGGAATGTGCCCAAGCCACTGTTAGAGTTCACAGGCACAGCAGTTCTGACTGTGAGCCGCTGGGAGTGGCTTACCGGACATAAAGAGTTTAACCTTTGTTGAGCTTCCATCTCATTTCAAATGATTTTCAACATTTTATGTCTCCATTAACACGGTTCAGGTCATTTGTAAGGTGGGCTACTCTCATCTTGCCTAATCAGGACCAGCATAGGCGACACTGTCAGTATACAACATCCCAGCAGTCAGACAGAGACACGTTTTCTCCAAAAGGGGAGCAAACTTGTATTTATTGAGCGCACGATGAAAAGTCAAACGGTTACACCAGAGACACTGGTATATATCTCTTTTTTTAACTGGTTAACTCTTTAAGCCCTGAGTATTTTCCACCATTTCCCAGAGTTTTTTTCCACAGTCACCTAAACCTAGTGCACTATGTCTCATTATAACCCCAAAAGCTTGCTTCCAACTTCTAAATAGCGTAAACAAAGGCTTAGTCATTACTATAAAACTTGGTATGGGAATAGTTCCGAAAAACAAGCAAAAACTAGCACTAAATAGAACGTAACAGTTGTCACTAGTACCACACGCTCCCAGTGTCTGATGGGGAATAGGGCCATTACCTCCAGACGCTCCCAGCGTCTGATAGGGTTCAAAGAGTTAAATAACAAATAAAGAGACGAGATTTACCCTTAGGCACTCGAGTGCCCTGAGGAACACAGTGGCTGCGAGCGTCCAGCGGACTGGGCATGACCAACATGTCAGGAACCTTGAAGAACTCCGAGTCAACCTCCACTCGATATACATCAGACACTGGTCCAATGGCCTGCAGGGAAATAACAGAAAAATGGTTCAGTAGAGCTAATTTACGCTACAAGGAACATAGTCACATCTTTCTTTTAGCCCCAAAAACATTAGGCGTTTTTTTTTTAAGTTACAGAGAGACATGAATATACAGTTAATTAAAATATAAGTTATTGTCATAAGAGTAAATAAATACAGCACTTAGCTAAACTTTACGGAAAAACTGATGGTCAGAGAAAAAAAAAGCAACTATTCTTCAGGTAACAAACAGAGAGGACTATACAAAATTATAACAAAGAGTGGAAACATAAATTCTTTTAACGTATTAAAACTGAAAATTATAAACCTATGAGTATGAAAAACAATAAACGTAATACAACAGAAATGTTACACAACAGAGTCACTTTATCAACTTGTAGTGGACATAGGTCTGTCCTATATGTTACACTGTATAAAAGAAGAAACTTCTTTTTTTTTGGTCGTTTTCTCAACTTTCAAATCATAGCAATTGTCCACTTATCGAAGTATTCGGAAACAGAAAAAGAACACATTGGAATTTCAGAATCATTAATAAGTTTTTGTTGGAAAAAGTATGAGTAATAAAGAGAAAAATTATTTTTCCTTTGTAGTACAGACGAACCTGTGTAAGACGGAATCGCAAGGGAGCCAGAAAAAAATTCAGTCTCAGACATTTTCCATCTTAGACAGGGGAATTTAGGGGGAGATGGAAGGGGGAGGGGTTCAAAAGCCTAGCCGGTGGGATCAAGGATCGCTTGTCCGATCGGCAAGCAGTGGTCAAAACTTCACACCTCTTAGCTGCTATCCTGTCTGATAATGACATGCGTCAGTCTTACTTATCCAATACCACCAGTGCTTGCCTTTCATAGGACCACTGTTTGACCTATTAAAAACAAAAACGTTTGAACATCCCCTTGGCTTCTACCCTTAGCCCCACCCATCGGTGTAACAAGCACAGTCAACCAATGCCACCCCTCACTGTCATCTTGTAACTACGATTTGAGGAACTCTTTTCTCGGCTGGCGTACGATCAGGGCGGCAGGCATTGGTCAAACTAATTTCACACCTCTGGCTTCTGGGTACCCAGGAAAGTTTCCGTAGTGGCTCGCTACTCAAGCACTCTCACGGGCAGTCGTGAGATTTCACACCCACACTACACTGACCATCTGCATCGCTCAGGGCTCACATGATGGGGTAACGTCTACCCCCAAATAGCGCCCCATCTCCCTTCCTCGCCTTGCGGAATGGCCATGGCGTTAAGTTTAGAGCCAGCGGAACCAAACTTGTGAGTTTTGTTTCAAATCAGGGCTGAAGGGGCAAAGCATTTTCCGTCTTAGACAGAAGAAACCATCGGAATGGAGCGGATTTTTCTTTCCGTTTCCGCGTTGGACAGGTTTCCGTTTTATACAGGTAATTAAAGAGGAATAAATCAAGGGGGGAGCGGGGAGATTCCGTTAAGACAGGTTTCCGTTTTATACAGGTTTCCGTTAAGGCAGGTTCGACTGTATATCATTCTGCAGTTATCACACTGTAAACCAGCAGCAATAACAAATCTGCTATATAAAAAGTTACCTTGGCCATAGTAACTGCAGCATCAGGATTGTTGCAGAGGTTCTTGATGGTTTTTGAGGTAACACTGCAGCTCATGATGGTGCCAGTCACTTGACGACGTTGCATTTCTTTGTTGGACATTTGCTAAAGGAATGAGAAATATTGATATCAGATGAAGCACAGATTTACGTACACATATACATGCTAACATCACTTGAGGGTTTCTTAATTGTTACATATTTTTAAAAACAAAACTCATGACTAATTCGCTGTTGCCCAACGCGTCAGTGGGTCCAAGGTTGAAGAGGTGTTGGTACAAGAAGCTGGAAAAAAAAACAGTCTTAAAAAATAACAGGGTCATGTGTTCGTGGGAAGGAAGTGTGTCAAATTGATTTATAATATAGTTGAACCTGTGTGAGACAGAATCACAAGGGAATGAGACAAAAATTCTGTCTTAGACATTTTCCATCTTGGACAAGGGGAATTTAGGCCGTTTCAGGGACCCAGCCAGTGGTTTAAGGGATGCTAGTTGGGTTTGCAAGCAGTGTTCAAAACATAATGCCTCTCAAGTGCTGTCCTCTTTAATAATGACATGCATCAATCCTACTTTATCCATTGCCACCAGTACTTGCATTTCATAGGACCACTGCTTGACCTATTGAAATTTAAAAATAAAGAAGTTTGAACATGTCCTTTGCTTCCACCCTTAGCCCCACCGATCAGTGTAATAAGCACAGTCAATCAAGGCCATCCTTCGCGTGCATGTATATACAATGATTCGAGGAACTCTTTTCTCAGTTGGCAATACGATCAGGGGGGCAGGCAGTGGTCAAACTAATTTCACACCTCTGGCCTTTGGCTACCCATGAAAGTTTCCGTGCTGGAGCACCATTCGAGCACTTTCACAGCCACTGGTGAGATTTCACAACCATACCACTCTGACCATCTGCACCGCTAAGGGCTCACATAGATGGAGTGACATCTACCTGCGTAAAGATTAGAGCTTATGGAACCAAACTTGATAAGTTTGTTTCAATTTAGGACTGAGTGGGCAAAGCATTTTCCATCTAAGACAGGTAAAAGCCTCAAAAGGAAAGAAATTTCTTCTTCCGTTCCCATGTTAGATTCTGTTATAACAGTTTCTGTCTCACACACGTTTCTGTTAAGGAAGGTTTGACTGTTGTTGTTCCATATCCAGATAATTCTATTCAATCAAGAGTTGGCCATTGTAACCACAAAAACTAAGAATACAGAGTCAGCTTCCCTCTAGGTTCCATTTTATCCAAAATGACTAGAGCAAGTTTAAGAGTTCGGAAACATCAAAAAAGCTACTGGCCAATCTCTCTCTCTCTCTACCTGTTGAGCAGCAATGATGAGTGCTCTTTCCTTCACCATGTTGGTCACTGGAATAAGTAACGACTCCTTCAAAGTTTGGCCTGACTCGCACTTCCAGTAGATAATGCTTTCATCCCCTCCAAATGTTCCACGTCCACTTCCTGCAAATACATGAATATAAATAATTAATATCAATAAAAGCATGTTTGAAAGCAGCCAATCACATCACAAGTTCATAACAAACCAATCACAAACGTGGACTCAAAATAATAAATCAAGGAGCATAGACACAAACATACAATCATGTAACATACACTCAAACAACCAACTACAAATAGTGTAAACAAACACACACACACATACACACATACAAACACACACACACACACACAAACACACTAACACCAATGAAAAATAGTGCACAAACAACCTACCAGAAAACACACACACACACACACACACACACACACACACACACACACACACACACACACACACACACACACAAACTCTTTTCAATATATTCCTACTGAATAGTGATTATTCGTGTTCGTACTGATACCGGATATGAGTAGTATCTAACTCTTTGGATTTCTGTTTGAGCTTTAGAATGGACTTTTAAATAATCTCTAGTGTTTGACTGTTCTGATGCTATTCAGTTTCAGGATAAAGAGAACACAACTGGTGAGCTTTCAATTTTTTCGCTCACTGTTTTGATTTCAACACAAATGCCTGTTTACATTGATTCCGTTATGCTATGTAAAATAACATGCACCATGATTAAAGTGTAGTTGGAGGAGGACATTGGCCCTGGGAGATAGAGAGAGAGAGAGAGAGAGAGAGAGAGAGAGAGGGAGAGAGAGAGACAGAGACAGAGACAGAGAGAGAGAGACAGAGAGACAGAGACAGAGAGAGAGAGAGAGAGTGAGAGAGACAGACAGACAGACAGACAGACAGAGAGAGGATGTGAGAAGAAGAGAAAGAAAGAAGAGAAACAGGACGCGATGAGTGAAGAATTGG